AGGACAGAATACCATCAGGTGTGCTCACACGCACGCAGATTCTTCACGTTGCTTTGATATGGATTATATAAGCCTGAAGTAATATTGGTATTGTTTCATAGTTTTTTTCATGACAAACTATTGATCTTGCCCCTAAAGCGTTCAAAATAACTAAATATAGATTATTTGAAACTATCAGTTACATTTACTTTGATTGCCAGCCTCAAATTCAGTTCATTTGCAATTATGTCTGACACAGATTACCCAAAAGACAGAAATCTATATCAAAGACAAGTAACCCTAAAACGACCATGACATGGCCTTATCGATTTCCTGAATGGATCTGTTGTAAAAGATAGCTTTCTGGATTTTGCTGCCATGTTCTGGCACTTAATGCGGTTTTATATTTCTCCCAATTGACCTATATGTTATAAATATGAAAGTCTCGATGCAATAATTGCTATATAACAAAAAGGTACCATATATATTTATGTAAGTTATATTTTTCGGATACCTATATGAACAGCAATTATTAAAAACCAAGATTTTACACACAGAGGACATTGTAGCTTTAAATGATGAAAGTTAATGAGTGTAGTTAAGTTGTGCTCCCCCGCTGTTTAGTATTATCAATAATTATAGAATATTTCTCTTTATTTCTTATTATCTATATATACTCGTCCGAGTGGTTTTCATTATCTGTGGTATAGTCAATATATTCTAGTTATTATATTCCAACCAGTTCACCGTAGGCGATTTACGAAATAGAATTCACGTGGTTTAACTAAAGTAGTTTTCTCCAATGAAGCCAATAAACATACATTATAAAAATTAACTTAAAGACATAATAACATGGACGAAATCGCGATGTTAAATGCAATGGCCCTGTTACACACATATTAAGTTAGCGTTTTCTGGAATACATTGCCGTACGTCGAATACGTTATAAGTATTAACTTTTGTATAAGCTAAAAAAAAACGTTGAAGCATGCTGGTATACGTCGTAGTAAGAAGATAACGTAGCCTATAAACATATATACGTATTTTCGACGTATAGGCTATCATACGCGGAACATACTCAAAATTATTTTAACCAATGAGTAACGTGCTTTGTACCATTGTCGAACTTATCTCCATTGTAAGTTGACGTATAAACGGGCATAGGTTCAAAGCAACTTAAGTTCCTCGTATATGCGAGACGTACGAATCATACGTAGTTATATGACAGAACCTTAAGGAGAACTGGTATATTACACTCGTTTGTATATGTTATCTATACGTTACCGAAACGTTGCATTGGAATTTATTATAAATGTGCTAGAAATACGCCCAAAATTTAAAAAAAACTACGTCAAATAGGTTTGTTCCAGAGAAGAGAGAATCCTCGAAAACCTACTTTTTTATCCTGATGAAATATAATCTTGTATATGAACTCGACAAACGTGCCGACTTTTTATACACTCTTTAGAAATACATTGACATGGCTGAGTCATAAAATTTTCACAGAAAAATAATTAATGAAACACGAGTGGAAATACAATAATTGCAATCTTCGTGTTTCTGTTGTTTAAAGATGTATTGCACTCAATAATTTATCGAAGTTTATGTCTCTGTCTAATGAACCTACAATTGACTTTAATGTAATAAAGAAAGCTTATTAATGGGATAACCCGTCTGTTTACCAATTCATTTTACACGGGGTGGCTAAAACTGCAATCTTCCACAAGTTAACGCGAATAGTTACACAAAATTTGCTATTGGAGAATATTTATATTTTATAATAACGGATAACCTTTGTAAATAAGGATGCTTACAGAAAGTTCATCGAGCTGCAAGATAATGACCATCTGGAATAAAGCTATGCCTATTTGCTCCATAACAGCTGTCGAAAATTCATAAATATAAACCTGCCAGATTATACAGATTTCATGAGTAAGCATAATATTATGTTTCACCCGAAGAAGGCCTATCCATCTTTATTGTTTACTTTTTCTGGCGTGGATGGCGAAATCGAGTTCTCAAATGTCCTGTGGTTGCCTGGTAATGTTCTGTTTGTCCAGGAGCTTCCATAAACTTTATCTAATATCTACAACAATAATCCATATTTTACTATTTTAGGGATGATAATAGTTTATTGAAGCCATTGAAAACGTCTACGTCATGTTATCAGAGCACTCAACATGGCTTCATTTGTCTTATCTCGGAAATTAAAAACTTGATAGATGTATATTACTATAATAATTGAAATCCAAGGAAAGTTAAAAGGTCATTTCCAATAATAATTCACATACGTCATATACTATAATATTTCTTCCATGCCAAATTTAATGTCGTTTCTGCAAAAATGTCCAAGATTTTACTGAGTTTGAGCTTTACCAAAATAAGTATTGACAGGGCAAGCTTTACCTTCCGAAACATCTGATGCCACTGTGCGATTTGTCCCACTTAGTTAATGTTGTTTATTTGTTATATTTATTGGAACATCAGTCATTTATAATCCAAGAAGTTGGTTTAATTTGTTACAGAAAATCATAGAGCATGATATTTGACATTTCTTTGACAAGATCTTGTCAATAATTCAACGCATCTGTGCCTTGTGTTTTGGGACACACATTTCTGAAGAATAACTTGTAAAGTTTGAGACAGTTTGTATGTTTTATTCAGAATTATACAAGACTCTTCATGGTTGACAGGAGTTATATAATTCTACCAATCCTTGGCGTGTTTTCCTGATCATTATAGGACAGCTCTGTTCTGATATTGTTTATATTTTAAGTTAAATTAAACAAAGCCTGTACTAAAATCATATTATTTTGAATTGAACATTGCCTGTTCTAATTAAATATTATTGCTACTTTAAAATTGAACAGACCCTGCAAACTCTTGTTCTGGTATTAATTATGATTTATGTTAACAAGACTTGTTTTGGTTCATTTAAATCTTAAAAGTGGAACAAAGCATGTTCTGATATTATATATACTTTAAATTACACATTGCCTGTTCTAATATTATATATACTTTAAATAACACATTGCCTGTTCTAATATTATATATACTTTAAATTACACATTGCCTGTTCTAATATTATATATACTTTAAATAACACATTGCCTGTTTTAATATTATATATATACTTTAAATTACACACTGTCTGTTCTAATATTATATATACTTTAAATTACACATTGCCTGTTCTAATATTATATATACTTTAAATTACACACTGTCTGTTCTAATATTATATAGACTTTAAATTGCACACTGTCTGTTCTAATATTATATATACTTTAAATTACACATTGCCTGTTCTAATATTATATATACTTTAAATTACACATTGCCTGTTCTAATATTATATATACTTTAAATAACACACTGTCTGTTCTAATATTATATAGACCTTTAAATTACACACTGTCTGTTCTAATATTATATAGACTTTAAATTACACACTGTCTGTTCTAATATTATATATACTTTAAATTACACACTGTCTGTTCTAATATTATATATACTTTAAATTACACATTGCCTGTTCTAATATTATATATACTAAATTACACATTGCCGGTTCTAATATTATATATACTTTAAATTACACATTGCCTGTTTTAATATTATATATACTAAATTACACCTTGCCTGTTCGAATATTTTATGTACTTTCAAAAATCAAAAAACAAAAAAACACTTTTTGACCTTTCTTGATCGGGCCACTCATTGGAATTCTGGTGGTAATTCTCTTCCAATTTAGATAATTATGAATCAATTATGGACATGTGATATTTTCCAAGTCATTAAAACACATCTACTTTCTATTCATATAAGTATTAGCTTGTTCATTTTCATAAATGAAAATAAGGGAACCCATCTTTAAGCATTCCCTGTTTTAAAAATACAACATTATGCAAAACAAACAGGAACTTGTTTTTTTTCTTTTTTATCTGTTGCTAAACAGGACCTGAGCTATTCTTTTATATTACTTTCTCATCCATGCATAGGCTGTTTTCTTGTTTTCGGTTCACTACATTCGTTCATGTTGCGGAAATTTGAGCATTCATTAAGAAGATTATCTCCAATTGTCACCAACTGTGAGAAATTATTATCTCCTCAGAAAATAACTTGTTTATTGCGATATTCATCTTATATATATGCTTCTGTACACTCTTTGAACCATTAGTAATAATCGACTTTGTAGTTTGAGGAGAAGACTTTTCCCAGATCACCCAATTTATTTCAAAGCTCTGGAGAGAATCACTTTATATTTTTGTACACATATATATTTCTCTATCTGCATTTAATTGGTTATTCGGTATGCTCATGTAGGCTAATATATGTAAATTTATGTAAAGGACTGCCAATAAAAAGAAAAAAAGTCCCATTCAGAGTCTTTTGCACTAGACTTTTACAAGAAAACTGTCTGAAAAGGCATAACGATATACATCCTACTTCCATCTATTGTGTTAATGAAGACAAAAAACGTCATGAAGTAGTGTGCAATGAGAGAAAATTTTATTGGTAAAGCCTCAACTAATTTCTTACCACTACAAGAATGCATGCCTTATTATCTTTAGTAACTCCTCCTCCGAAAGGCGTTTTTTTTTATTGGGATCAGAAGTCATTGTATTGTAAAGGTCTAGCAGAACTAACATGTGACAGTTATAATGTTTTATTGTTTTATGGTTTAAAATATTTAATACTCTACTACATATTGTGTAATACGTAATTGAAGAGTTACGTCCCTTGAGAGAATATTTTATTTAAAATCGATGTAAATTAAGAGTTATGACCAAGATCTCAGGCATTGTGTAATTTCTTATTTTTTATCCAAAGAAGTCGTCTGATTGTTGAACTTTTTTTTTTATTTAAGGAAGAATTGCTTACTTGTGAAAAGCTCTTTACTCTCTCACTCAAGTAAATTTCATATAAAACCATCCACTCCTGGAATATTTAAATCAAGCACTGCTGAAAATATCCACAAACTTAACGATTTATAATTATTTCTCACCGTATACTTTCAGGTATGGGAAATTTTTCAACGAGACCTGGGCCCAAAAATATTGCCGAATTAGAAAAGTTATGCAATTTTTCGAGGGAAGAAATTCAAGTTTTATATGACAATTTTCTGAAAATGAGTGGTGGTAGAAGTACAGTGTCGAGGCGTGATTTTATAAAAGGATATAATAAGACATTTTCTAGTGGTGATGCCAGAAAATTTGCTGAAAACGTATTTCGGACATTTGATACGGACGGCAATGAGAGTTTGGACTTTCGAGAGTTTTTAGTTGGATTGAGCTGCAAGTCTGCAGAGGATTTGCCTAGTAAAATTGAATGGTCTTTTAAAGTTTATGACAGAAATGGTGATGGTTATATTTCTCGACAAGAAATGAAAAGTGTCATACATGTACGTATTTCAGTTACTCGCATGCAGCCATATTGACATGTCAAACTTTTTCGAGATGCTTCTTATACTTTGACTTCATTGGGCAATACAGGTATCACGGAGTGCAAAGATTTGATTGCATTGTACGCGAATACGAAAACATCCAATCAGTCTTCGACTGAAAAACTCTAAATATATGACGCAGTTTGACTATAAGTACTTGACATGCATCATATATGCCAATACAAAATAGTAAGATATGCGATGTTTGAATTCGCACGAGTTTCGCTTGAACGCAACATAAACGTTGAAAACGGCATGAGGTATTTAATTCAAAATAATTGTTGTCCGAATCTACATATTTCTTATTGATATACTCTTAATTATACTTCTACGCTAAAGGCCTTGCCAAACATTTACATGGAATTGTCGACCCTCAATTTAAATTTCAACTTTTACTTCCTTTGCATTGTCAACCTTTGCAATGATTGGAAACCCCGAGGTACTTACAAGCGAATTAAATCAAAGTTTTCTTTAGCTCACATGCAAGCTACTTCATGACTTATTTTGTGTTTATTTTAATGTTTCAGTCGATAATTCGAATGAATGGTATTGAGTGTAACATACAGGATACAGTAAATAAATTAACACAAGATTTATACCAAACAGTCGATCTTAATAATGATAAAAGTGTCAGTTTCGAGGAATTCAAGTCATCTGTGGAACAAAACAGCACTTTATTGGACCTCCTCCAAGCTCGACCGCCTCATTGAAGGATACCCTAGGCCTATTTGCAAAATTTATTGACTACCTTTAATTGCCATTGTTAACGAGGTTTCACAAAATGATCTGGTAACACATCAAACCAGAACAATTATGTTGACCTAATAGATTTTTTACTTCTGAAAATAAGAGATCATGAGTGACGTTCTTTTCTCGTTTACTGTGTGCAATGTCTGCAGAATATTTCTCCGTTCCTAATGCTGCAATATTGGCGCCATTTTCTTCTCAGTTTTTGTTTATTTCTTAAACATTCCATAAGCTCCACAAACTTTGTAAAAGAAGGGATAGTGATTGGCCCAGGGCTCACAACAGCAAACACACGACTCTATGCTTGTTGGGAGTTGTGAATGTAACCATTTGTGAAGATTAAAAAATCCTTCGCGAACTGCAAAATTGAGAAGAGGTTGAAATATCGTATTGTTACATTTTTTTAAATATATATATCGATGATATTACCTGTACATATATTGTTACACACTAATTCTTGGAAATCGTCTACCAACGGCCAGCCATCGCGGTTGTTTTTAGTCGGACATTGTGTCTGTTCAATCATCGAAGATGTTGTTGGTCAGGAATTGCTTCTGCTCTAGGTCAATCATCGCTGATATTCTTGGTCAGGCATTGCGTCTGTTCTAGGTCAGTCATCGCGACTGTTGTTGGCCGGGCATTGCGTTTGTCACGGTTGTTCTTGCGCGGGCACTGCGTCTGTTCTAAGTCAATTATCGCGGTTGTTCTGGGTCGGACAGGCTAGTCATTTTAGGTTATCAAAGGATCACTCGATTGCCCGCCATCAAGTTTGTTCTGTGTCGGCCATCGCAGTTGGTTTAGGTTATTTATCGCGGTTATTCTTTGGCCGTAGGCTACAAACCATTCAGGGTCAGCCCTGTCAAATTGTCCAGGGTCATTATCCTAAGCTGTTCAACGGTTCAAGGTCACAATATTACTTTTATATCATTTTGTTAATCAACTTTTGTTGTTCTTTTAAGCACAACTTAATTTTATTATATAGAAAGAGTACATTAAGAAAATTATTAATAACTTTATGTCTCGTATTCCTTTCCCTGTTGTAAAAATTGACATGAATAGCTAGTTTACCTTTTATATCTATGCAATCCCTGGGGCCTTCCTATTCCAATCTAAATAAACGTTTGGTATAAGATCTGCAGCTTTCCATAAGTAGGCTAGGCCTACTGCGGGATAGATATCGATCAAAAACTGACATTTTTTTTGGCTTCGGAAGGTTTCAAGGGACAAGGGCGGCGATATCCTTGAAGGACGGGGGCACATGTCCCCCTCTAATTTCTGACTGGGGGGGGGGGGGGCATCATATATATTGTCCACCCCTGAAAAATAGCCATTAAAGACAATTCAATTCATTCATACAATCGTAATATAGGCTACATCGATAAGGAAATTGGATGACGATATTCTCTGGTATTATCTGGGTATCGATATATTGCACATTTGAGGTAGCTCTGAGAGAGGTCAAGAGATAATTGTAGGCCTATTTCATGTTGCCCAAATAGTTTGACGATTATTGCAATAATCATTATTCAGAGTCATGGAATAATAACTAATGTTTATTTCCTTTAAATTGTCGTTTCAATCTTCAAAAGACTGTTTCCTTGTCCTACAAACTGACCCAAAACTATATCTGCCACCCCTAAAAAGAAATGTCAGTTGTTATTTCCAAATAGGGCCTACGTACATTAATTCATTTTACTGAATCGAGGGGAGTCTTTGTTATAGATAATCCTGAGCCTTAAATTCGTCGGGAAATGTCAGGAAACTGCGTTTCTTGGCGTCTAATTCTCAAAACTTTCACAGTGGCATACCACAGACCCTACACAAATAATCTTGAATAATCTAAATTCGCTGTCAAATGTCAGGAAATCGAGTTTCAGGGCGTCATATTCTCAAAATTTTCTTGTGGTGGTCCCACAGTCCCTATACAAATAAACCTTAAATTCGCCAGGAAATTTCAGGAAATCGCGTTGCAGGGAGTCAAATTCTCAAGAATTCTCTACAGGGGGTCCCCAGACTTCAGAAAATCATGTCTCCAGGCTTCCAATGGGCGTCCTCGGCTGCAATAAAGATAGCAATAATTCTAGAGAGAGCAATGCGTATAGCCTAATTCACAAAGTTTCTGCTCCGGACTGTAGAATCAAACCTTTTTAGCATTACCGGTATTTTATTTCAACAGTTCGCGAGGACTGTACACGTTTTGGACTTGTTGACCTGCAAATAATCTCCGTTTATTAATCCTTGTTTACGACATTTCTTAATGTCAGGTCCTCTGATCTCTATCACTGTTTCAGCATTTATTTAAATATGACATAATTCATCTAAGATTTAAAAAGGAATACCGGTACTCGACTGTGCGTCGATTAACTTAGTTAATAGTTGTCTGAAGTTGCGCGGTCGCTTGTCTCCCTTCATTAACTGGTAAATGGAGACTATCCACGTTACTTTGTTTGGATTTGTTTTGATTTCGCTGTTGTTGTGTAATATTCTTAGGGAATTTATTCATGGTACTTACAATTGCAAAATTCTGTAGAATGGCAACAAATACTTCTGCTTTCAAATTTATAGGTAAATATCAATATCTTTTATCGTATTCTATTGTCTCAGAAGTGTAGAAAAGAAAAAAATTAAAGTAAACAAATCGAAAGTAGAAAATACCAGTTCAATCTTTTCTTTTAATTGCAGGGCGTTCTTCGAACTGCTTTGTTTTCGTAATGATTTTTTTTTTTTTTTTTTTCGCGGACCCGGGTGCTTATTTCTCGGAAACGACAACAGATACGAAAAAACGTACTTCACCACCGTTCGTAACTCGAGAAAAATTACCTAATGAATGTTAAACGGAAAATTTCTGCGCAACCGGAAGCGAGATCGCAAAATTCCGGAAATGAACTCTAGAGTGCGTATTTATCGTCAGATTTTGCCCAGGTTTTGTTTATTGTACTCTATATTACATTACACAAACAACGGTAATTAATAATACTATACTTTTATTAACATGGGCCGCCATCTTGGTTTCCCTTATTTCGCAAAAATTGCTATTTTGGAACTATTTGTGATCTGATTGACTTGATTCTGGTATCAAATGATACGTTGAAAGTTTATCTAAAACTTGTAGAGGAAAGAATTTTATTTTCGGTTTTGCCTTTTTTGTACGACTGGATATTTTTTTTCAAAGTTTGAAGGCGTATATCTCATGACCTTGACCTTTGATGACCTTCATATTTACTGTGATGATAATTTGTGACCTTGTCTATCTGATGACCTTTTGACCTTTGGGGTCAGATACCTATTTCCGATTTTACGGGAGTCTAAATATGGACCATTTTGAGTCTTTAAAGAGCTACATCTCGGTCCCTAATAGAGATATGGCGATAATTTTGATTTTGTAATGTAGAGATTCTGAGCTTTCCAGTGATATAAGACATGCATGCCTTACATGCAAATTCATAACCCCATTCACTTAACATGGGACTGTTATTAGATAAATCGGTTAATTAGATTATCCTGGCTGTCAACCCCAATATAAATCAAAGTTTAAGTAGTTTTAAAGACACCCTCTCTTTTATATTTCTTTTAAATGTTTTGTGTCCTGTTAAGGTATATAATTAAGCTCTAGGATGGATTGAACCGTGCTATACTGTAAGTTAAGTTCACGGAAGCAGATTAAAGGTATACCCCCACTTAATTTCCCCACTTTCTTATTTTTTATCCAAATTTCACCAAACTTGGTATGTATGTGTATAATCCAATTGTAAATTTGATGGATATATCGGATTTGCATAGTGCGCATGCGCATTACTAACTTTCTTATTTCTTATTCGAATTTCATCAAACTTGGCATGTATTCCTATAATCCAATTCTGAATTTGATGAAAATATTGAATTTTTGTTATGCACATGCGCATTACCAACTTTATAATTTCTTATCCGAATTTCACCAAACTTGGTATGTATGTGTGTATATAATCTAATTCTAAATTTGATGGAAATATTGAATTTTTGTTTTGTGCTTGCCATTACCAACTTTCTTATTTCTTATCAGAATTTCACCAAACTTGGTATGTATGTGTGTATATAATCTAATTCTAAATTTGATGGAAATATTGAATTTTTGTTTTGTGCTTGCCATTACCAACTTTCTTATTTCTTATCAGAATTTCACCAAACTTGGTATGTATGTATGTATATAATCTAATTCTAAATTTGATGGAAATATTGAATTTTTGTTTTGTGCTTGCCATTACCAACTTTCTTATTTCTTATCAGAATTTCACCAAACTTGGTATGTAGTGTGTATAAACTAATTCTAAATTTGAAGGAAATATTGAATATTTATTGTGCGCATGCGCATTACCTACTTTCTTTTTCCTTATCCGAATTTCACCAAACTTGGTATGTAGGTGTGTAAACCAATTCTAAATTTGAAGGAAATATTGAATATTTATTGTGCGCATGCGCATTACCTACTTTCTTTTTCCTTATCCGAATTTCACCAAACTTGGTATGAATGTGTATAATCCAATTCTAAATTTGATGGAATTATTGAATTTTTGTTTTGCGCATGCGCATTACCAACTTTCTTATTTCTTATCCAAATTTAATCAAGCGTGCTAGGTATGTGTATAATCCAATTCTAAATTTGATAGAAATATCGAATTTGTAATGTGCGCACGCGCATTGCCAAATTACTTATTTCTTATCCCGGTTTTTATCAAACTTGGTCTTTATTAATTGAGAAAGATTCTTTTATTCCTAGTCAATATAGTTTATACTCCAGGCACTTTTGGATATTTGCATTTAGAGATGCAGAAAAATATTTACATCAATGTAATTGCAATAGACCATCTTCGTATGTACCTGAATGTCGTAACACACCCTGCATCAGTACTGTTATTAGAACAGTTCTAGTTATTTTTTGTTTTAGATATTGGTGTCAATTTAACTGACCATGTATTTAGAGGTGTTTATCATGGTTCAAAGAAACACGAGGGTTTGTTAAAATTTATATTTAATAAAACTTACCTTTCTATCAGTGTGTATAGTGCTGTTGGTATTACTCCCACTTTCTGCACTTTGACTGCAGAAGGCCTGGTAATGGGACCTTTTGTTACAAACTGATATTGAATACCCATGGTTCACTTGAACAAAAAAGAAATCATCTTTATTTCCTGGTCTTTGTTTGTGTTAGAATCTAACAATATATTTTATTCATAAATCTATTCAAATATAACTTATGAAAAGGTTTAGGGAACAGGTTGTCTAGTAAAAACTCCTCCCGGTCTAATTGTTATAGTAAGTATCAGGCCAAGTCAGAGGTTTAATTGCATTATCTGATTGTTGTAATTATTTCTTATAGACAATAATCTTATGGTATATTTTTCGTTTACAGATGATTTTTATGATGTTATTCAGAGATCAAAAGACATAGGAATGAAGAAGGTTTGATTTTAAAATGAACACCTCTGTTTATCATGATTCAGAAGTTACTCCAAAACAAATAGGAGAAAATTTTACAGTTATAATATTGGCATTTCATAGAAATTTGTTCATGATCAATACTGCATAATTTTACATTAAATCTTAAAGGGGAATTCCACTTTTCTTGTAAAAAAAATTCCAATATCAAAAACTTGATTTGTTTTACCTTCAGATGATTATAACTGGAGGAAATTTAAAAGAATCCCTAGAAGCCTTAGAAATAGCTAAATCTCATGGTATGTCATCTTCACTTTTCATGCAATTACAAACTTCGTCTTATACCTTATGCAGTGATTTGATTGGATTGTACACAATTGTATAACATTGAGAATTTTAAAGTTATATTTCACTAACAGTAGTTCTTTTTTTCTAGAAATGTTGTATTGTACTGTCGGATGTCATCCAACTAGAACAAATGCTTTTGAGAAAAGTGGTGATCCTGACAAATATCTAGTAGATTTAATCAATCTTGCCAAATCTAATTCAGATAAGATAGTAGCTGTTGGAGAGTTTGGATTAGGTAAGATTGTGTTCATGTTCAATGATGTGATCAGTATAGATACCCTTCTATCTGTGGTGTCTATATACAATTTATATTAATCTGAGTACTATGTAACATCTAAGGACAAAGAATAAACTTTGTATATATGCTATTGCTCTGTATCCAGTCTAATATACCAACCAGTAAACGTATTGTAGAAAGAAATAAAATATTTATTTTTGTTTTACAGATTATGACAGACTCCAATTCAGTCCAAAAGAAACTCAGTTGAAGTAAGTATGACCAATCCAGTCTCATAGTAACATCAGGTGCTTTGGGAAAAGGAGAAAATCCTAACTCGCCTTAATTTTTATTAGATAAAAGATTAGAAGTTTGGCTGTAATGAAAATTTGAAGAGATCCACATATGGGCCATTTTTCAATCAAATGCATCAAAACCCAACTTCTAGCCCCAGACTCCTTAGGTATTAAAGATGAACAAAGGACAAACTTCAAAACACTGGATTTAGACTTCAAATGCATCAAAAACCAAATTTTCAGCCAGTTAGTATTGACTTTTTTATGATTTTATGTTATTTATGTGCTCAGAAGATGAGCTAAGGTAAAACCTCAAAATGCAGTATTAAGGCTGTCCTATATATCATTTAATTTTCATATTTGACAGATACTTTGAAAAACAGATGGATCTTGCTGAAGAGGCCAAGCTGCCATTATTCCTTCACAGTAGAAATTGCTCACAAGACTTTTTAGATATCATAAAACGAAACAGACATAGATTTTCTGGTGGAGTGGTAAGTTTAAAATACTCTTGAAGAAACATCAATCATCATAATAATATCTAATCATGTGGAATATATTGTATTTGAACTTTGTGGTAACGTAAAGTGGCATACACATTGTTTCTTTTGAACAGTGTCCATTGTGTGCAGTTAATGAAAACATTAATACATTACATGGTTTCTATTTTCAAGAGACAAAAATCTGTCGTCTGCACCTAGTTTAAGCTACATATTTATTTTGTATTTACAGGTACACTCATTCACAGGCAGTAAAGAAGAGGCAAAAGAGATTGTAGATCAAGGTTTATATATTGGTATTAATGGATGGTAAGCTATATAAATTAGGATAAATATATATTACAATGGCCATTTTCTTTAATCTGATGATGACACATGCAAATTGTGTTCAAACGTTAGGTGTTTTGTAATTAAAGAAGTGTAATCCAGAATTCAGATACATTTTCTGAAGAGTGACTTTTAACTTGATTTTGTCAAAAAAACGTACACTGTTCACAATTGAATAAGATGGTTGGTTTAAACATAGAACAGTATATAGTTCTATGGGTCATAAAACAGATTTTACTCAAATTTGGGTGAGAAACATTCACCTTTATGTAATGGTGATTTGTTTTCCTTTTTGCTCAGTATTTTATAGCTGTATTGACTCCGTGGCAGTTTTATTTCAGTTCATTGAAAACTCAAGAGAACATTGAAACTATGTGTTCAATTCCTACAGATAAACTCATGATTGAGACAGGTGGGTGGCTTACAGCATCTTTTATTGTAGACAAGCTATATGTTGGATTTTCATTTTGAATTCATTACTGGTAGTTAAATTATTATATCAGCTTGTAATGTGCATAATAAGACAATTAGTTATTTATGGAAATAATTAAGAAAACCACAAATTATAAACAAGCGTTAAGTTAAATTACAGAATGACATTAGTATCTGTTATATTTATAAATGGTATCTATTGTAGATGCTCCATGGTGTGAAATTAAAGCAACTCATGCAGGACACAGGTTTATAAAAACAACATTTCCCAGTAAAAAGAAAGAAAAATGGGAGAAAGGATTCTGTGTTAAAAGTAGGAATGAACCTGCTCATATAATGTAAGTTTAAAATCTGTCCGAACCATAAATGTAATATAGGGTGCTTTCATAGTGGCTTAAATCCTTTAGACCTGCATCACTGAAAACCCACTTTGCAATCATGTGTGTGACCAGAGATAATGTCAGGGTGGACCATTTCACCTTAATTTGAACCTATGACTTAGTTGATATGATTATATTTCAGTGAAGTGTTAGAAGTAATGGCTGCCAGTAGAAATGAAGATATAACTCAGTTAGCTGATGTAATGTACCAGAATACAATGTCAGTATTCTTCCCAGACAAACCTTGATGGTGGTTAATTTATAGAATTGTAAATAAATTGTAATTTAAATTAAAACATGTTTTAGTCAATATTTACATTTCTACCATCACTCCCTTCAATAAACCAGTTAGCCAAACCGGCGTTTATTTTCCAATAACTGTAGTTTGTCACGTGACAATAAGGCGTATGAATACATCGAAAACGAAAACAAGGATTGACCCAAGTTTTATTACCTAGAGTTGGAAAGTGATTTTGAAAGGGTTTCTAACAAGTATTTTAAATCAATGGAATAATAAATATTTGATAATTCTATCATCCAAATAAGACTGATGATTTATAGTACTATATTATTCGGGTCATTTGTCTTGTCACATGATAAACCAGCGTTTTTTTCCCAATAACGATAACAAGAACCACATTCATTTAAGAAATGAATGTTTGACACTATTGTCATCTTGTGGATTGTAATATGAAAGTGTACCACATTTTGATTGAAATGTGGCTGAAAGTTTTGGTTTTTCTATATTTGTCAAAATAGCCTACCAGAACAAAATACTAGACTTTGGAAAACTTGGACACATCTAACCTTTATGTTGTCCAATATATCATCATCAAAGTTATAACAATAAAAGAAAAACAACTAATTCTTGAATAAATATACTTTGTATTAGTCACTAATCAAAAAGACATTCATTGTATTTTAAAATATATTTACAAAACAATTTCCATCTTGCATACAAACATGCATCAGAGATTAATTTTAACAACAGAGTAGAATTAGTATTCAAACGTACTGGCATTTCACCATAAAATGATAAAATGCATTATAAAGTTCTGTTAATCTATTGTGTCAATAAGAATGATATGCAGTGTTGAATCTCTGAAGGTAATTAGATATAAAATAAGTCTTAACATCGAGTCAATATCTTCAACAATCAAAGTTACATTCAGTTTTATACAATCATTTGCATACTTCTGCCATTCTATTATAATATATTAGGTATTTTTATATTATTTACAATAATACAATACAGAAACAATTAACAAGTATCCTTAGCATTTATGAAACTTATGTCAGAAATATATCGAAAGTATATGAAAGAGTAGATTTGATATGACAAATTTAAAACTTATAAGGTTTGGACCCAGAACTTCAACAAAATATTTGGACTGTGTTTCAATACTTAAATAGCATACAGAAGTATTATCTGATAATAATATTCTTTAAAAAAAGTTATTGTTAAACTAAATTTCTGCACAAGCTGACAAGACATAGATCAGAAATGAAACAATAAAATAATATGACAGTAAAAACATTTAAACCCATAACCGAAACAAAAGAAAACAAGTATTATTCCTGAGCATATTTTGCTTGAACATTATACAATGTTTTCATAAAATCATTAATATACAAAATTCCTTGGTTTCATTGAAGCACTTTAAACATTTGTAAGTTTACAATACACATTTACATCTTAAATAAATTCAAACATCAGTTATTAGTCAGTCAGGGCTTGAAATTTGAACTTGTCATATGTTTGATAGAAATTCTGCACCCAATGACCAATAATATATAAATATTGTTGGTCCTTGTTTCATTTACTGGTTATAAATTTCAAAATATACAAACTAAACTGACACATTCAAATGTTACATTTAATTGGTAGACAAATTTTTATATTTCATTATCATGAATGACATTTTTTAGAAGATCAAGTTTTGCTTTATAATAATATAATTTTAACAAGACTTCAATAATAATTTGGTTTATAATTGGCTATATGGCAAACATAATGCAAGGCTATATAGTGAAACAATCCCTTCCTTCTTTACATATACAATGTAGACAAGATATATGATATACATGTGGAAGGATCCAAAAGGGAAGATGAGGGTTGTTAATTGAGCCTTGCTTTCTTGACAGTAAGTTTTAGCTAGTATAGGATGTGATAGTTTTCTGACACCATGCTACTGCCTGTGTTAGATATTGTTGAAGAACCTGTAGACCATCGTAAGCTGTCTTCTGTATATTCTCAGGTGAAAATTGACCTCTGAAAGGATGGAAAATCTTAATTTATATATAATTTTCTATATATATCATTCTAAAGGATATTAACATATAATAGCCCCCAATGTACTGCAGACACAATTAATTCACTATAAATTTAGCTCTTTGTTGATCAAGAGATCGATAAAGCCAATTTCGACAATAATAACAAGTCGTCACTGACAGCAAAGCGTGCCAAAAATTTCAGATTAAGAGAACAAGGGCTAAAAGATATAAAAACATCGATGGGACCATCTCACTCTATCCACAGAGATAAGA